AAAACAGATTGTATTGAAAGAATATTTGTCAAACAAATGGATGAGAATTGGTGTCTTGAGAAAGTCACACTGATTGCCAGTTGTTACAAGCTTGACATCACGTCTTTTGTCTTTATTTAAAATGAGCTAGGGGCTGATTTTGGTGAGCAAAAACATAAAATACGTATAGATAAATATGATTTTTCCAAGTGTCTGTTGTCATTGTTGACGCATTGGTAAAGAGACATCAGAGCAGGTCTGATAAGCCAGACACTGCCACAAAGATCCCCAAAGCCTTGAGATAGGGCTGTCACCCTCTCCTTTTGGCGTAATCTCTCCCACCGTGGAGCTGGCATGTCTGCGCGGATGAAATTGAGCGATAGCTGTCCGCTCTTATCTGACAGGATTTGGTCCGCTGGGAGAGATTTGGCTGCAATGGGAAATGGAGGAAGCACAGTGGAGCTGACCATAACTCTCTGTATGGTATATTCTGGTGACCCCATGGCTCAGTCAGCACAGTACAATCACAGGAACACACACACACACACACACCACACACACACCACACACACACACACCACACACACACATAGTAGAGTCCCGGAACTTCTGGCTGCTAGAGATGTTACTGTGTTATACTGTAGGGAGACCACCGGAGGGAGGGAGAGGGGGAGGACAATGTGTTGCAGGCTCAGCTGCTCATGAGTATTCTGGCTTGCAAACTACTGCAGCTCCTTCCTTCCCAAAAAGCAGCAACCCAAGGAAAACTCCTCTCCCCTCCTCCTCATCCCTCCTCCCCCCTCATCTTCATCCTTTACTCTGAGTCAGCAAATCTGACCTCCCCCTGATGAAAGATGAATACCCGGCTGCAAAGGAAGGAGAAGGAGGAGAGGAGACCATCAGAGACATGGTTAAAAAGAGGCTTTGAAGGTCGAGGGGGGGATGAAGGTGCAGTCTGCCTGCATGCAGCTTAAACACTGCCATAAATATTAGTCATGCACACATACACACATAATCTGACTGCCGGCTCTTAAAGTGGAGCCAAAGAACCAAAAAAGAAGAAACTAACATCGATATTTCCTGTTACATAAATTGCAGCCTTTTTTTTTGAGAGAATGCCTAATCCATATGGACCACTGTGATTAGTTTGTCTGATTACTAAGAGAACATGTGACAGTAATGATGTATATCACTCTGCACCGATACCTGCTTGAATTGATGAGTGATTGACAAAAGATTTAGTCAGCAGATTCCAGCCCATTTATAGATCTGCTGATTAACTACTTCTTGAAAGTCTGGTTTCAGGTCAGACACAGGAACCTTCACATACAGCAAAGTGGGACTGTCACTGTCACTTGAATAGAACAGGGCTATTGTTAATGTTATTAGTCACAGCTGTGCTTTGCTCTGTGACGAGTCAAAGTGTCTGCTGTGAAAAAGGCTGATGAGATAAACCTCAGTTTTCCTGGGAAGTGCAGAAGAAGCTAATGTTCTGCACTTAATTTAGCTAATGGAGGAGCTTGTTTGACAAAGGAAGGACCGGTCGATCAGCCATTTCTGTATTATCTTTTTATGAGCTTTAGGCTAACATCTTTGAGCGACTGTGGCTCTTTGGCTCCGCCTACAGGTTTTGCCCAACCAATGAGATCATTTCTACCTCTGAGAATTTTTTAAAGGTCAGTGTGTAAGATTTAGGAGGGCAGAAATAAAGTAAAATATGCATGTTGTGTTTTTATCTACATACACCGTGGCAGCCGCTGTGTTGAACCGCCATGTTATAGTAGCCCAGAAGGGAAAAACCACAAACTGGCATTTTTTTTCTCTTTTTCACGTGTTCCGCAGCCACTGTGCATTCTTTTGTGCGTTTGGAAGAGTGGTCCTTTAAAGCTGTAATATATCTTTGATGTGTACTCTAGGTTATGTAACTAAGCAAGTTCTAACCTTAAACCTTTTTTCAGCTTGGGGGCAGTGCAACAGGTTGTAACTGACATTTGAATTATTATGTCAGTGTTGGGTTATATAAAGTTTAATGTGCTATCAAACAGCATATTTACATATCCAGCAGATATGGAAAAAAATTAGAATTTGCAGTCACCAGATGACTATACGGTCTATTTTTTGCTCTGCTTTTGGTCGCCACCAACTCCAGAGGGAAAGATATGGCTCTTTAGCTGTTCAGGTAGCGAAGTCAGTTAATTATAGCTTTTAAACAAAAAACAGCTGCCTACTGTCTTAAAATGAGAGCCGTGAGACTCAACCGAAAAAGAAAAGTTGCGGGCCATAAAACCAAAACAATCAAGAGTTGGGTGATAATTCTCTGCGACTTTGTCACTATGAGCGACCCCTTTTTTATACACATGTTCATTTGATCAGTTATTATTATAAAAAATATTGATTAGTGCAGCTTTAAGTTGCATTAAATACACTCAGTTGCCAGTTTATTAGCTAAACCTAATGTTGTCTCATAGAAGAGCCCTGAAATATAGGAATATATGAATTATATATTTTCTTATATTTCTAATATTTTGTCCACTTATTAGAAACAACCCTGTTCAACTCAAAACTCAATAACAGTTTCAACAAAAACTGAATGTTATAAGCTTCATAGAGGCAAACTGTATTGTAGGGCTGTGTATTATACTACAAGATGTGCTTAATAAACTAACAAGTGCTTGTAAATCTTTTTTTTTTTCTTTTCCCAAAATATGCTATCTAATATTCTTTTATATTGGTTACATCAGCCAATTGTTGATTACAGGATGGAGTTCATCACTTGCAATGCTCTGTGTTTACCAGAACTGGAACCACAGCAAACTAATTGGAAAAGATATTAAAAGGTATAAAGCTCAATTAGGAGCAGCCATCTAAACATTGCCACAACACTGAGAAGATTTTGAGGTTTGTCTTAAATGCATCAGACCCTGTGTACAGACATCCAGCGCAGTCAGGACACCTCCGTCAGGTCTGGATGGCCTGTTTACAGCCAGGTTTCATTTTTATAATGATGATTAACGTGCCACATTCCCCACAATATGCATCTTGTGTAGTGTTTCCCGTCAATAGCGTTTCACCCGGGGAGCTGTAACTCTCATCGCACCAGCTCTTTCCATCTCCCTGTAATTGCTCTATCAATTCAATGAAAGAAAAAAAAAAACAACAACAAAATGAACTGCCCTGCGCCGTGCACGCACAGCTCATTTAGCTCTGGGCGTAATGAGAGCTGTTGCGTGAAAGCACAATCAATTTCTAATGTGCTGGTTTACAGCACCCACCAGACTGACAGCCGAGCCAATACACGACAAGAAGTTTAATGGTGTTTTTTGGAGCAACAGTCTACAGCGATGCATGATGGGAAAAACAGGACTCAAAAAGAGCGCCCGGAGCGGCTCGGAGCAATGAGTGTGTCAAAACTGCTTAGAGGAAATTGGCAGGGAGAGATGGAGGAGCAGGGATGGCTGGGAAGAAAAAATTAAAGGTGACTCAGTGATGAAGGGCTTTAGTGTTAAATAAAGAAGTCTGTCACAGCCTTATAACACACACACACGTACAACGGAATATTAAACCCAGAGACACTAGTAGCGCTGCAATAAAGATACATTAACTATCATTAAATATCAAGTATAAAAGCAGGCATTCTTTACAGTGAATACATCCCCTCGCAGTAACACAAATTTTCCCCATAAAAAACAACAACTAATCATTCCCCCACAACTGTAATAACCAACCAGTTGATACTCCAGGGGCCCCTCCTCCCCTCACAGAGCAGTTACTATCAACAGAAAATGAATCCTCAAAGAGCCGTTAACATCATCTGCTAATTTAACATGTTCTATTAGACGAACACCAGAAAGCTATTTAAGAAACCCCGGGAACGGCGTGCACCGTTCACAGAAGAGACGTGAGAGAGAGAGAGAGAGAGCGAGAGAGAGAGAGAGAACAGGCTGAAATCAAAAAGAAGCTGGACACAGGACAGAGGGTTAAGAGTCACTTCATGCAGAAAACATTATACAGAGGGCAGTTGACACTAGCAGCTGTGCTCCAGGTTTCAGAGGAGCCGTGTCACTGTGCAGCGTTCTCCTCCTCCTCTTCCTCCTCTTCCTGTTGGCTTTTCTTCTGTAGAGAGGATGAAGAACAGGGGAGGAGATTAAACTTCTAGATGTACTCTCTTTTCCAATTTTAAATTCTAACCATGCTTGAGAGTCACACTGGAGAAAAACACCTCTGAATTTGTGATAATGACATCCTACAAAAAATAAATAAAAACACACAATTGTAATAAAACCTGCATTATGTTCAATATCAACATTTGTAATAGTCCTACTCTCTCTAATATCTGCGCATGGCAAGATTTTAGTTCTGGTTGATATGGCGACACCTGTAGTCACTGATCGTAATGCTGAGAATGTCTTCATAACAGAAGCAACAGACTGCCATTTGAAACAACACGTAGCTACTCCATCAGAAATATGACAGGAGGAGACGAGCAACCAGTTTTTTAGTCATCTCTGTAGCTCTACTTGTACCGATGCAAATATGTTTCCTCCTCAGAATGCCTGGGAGTTCTTGATGATGTCATTATGTAACGAATGGACGGAGCACAAATGAAGTGAATTTTATCCAGTATGTTTATGTGTCTTTTTCTGTGAACCCCCTGTGCACGGGCATGCCATTTCTAACCAGCATGGAAGTGGCGGACCCTGCCACTGACACTGCAAACTACTATACAAAGAGGTAACTACTAAGTTTATATACATTTAATCGCTTTTACAGAATAGATGCCAGCCATAAATATTATGTTAAATAATAAATATATTTTTTATTATATAACATTGAGTATGATGTTATGAAAGTCTTAAAGGCTGAATGAGTGGGATTTGTCATTTGTGGTTTGTAAACACAACAGTCAAAGCTGGAACCTTCCTCCCTGGATAAACGACATCAGAAGCGCATGTAAGCTCCCTTTTGGATGCGTCCTAAAAATCTGGCACGTGGTTTGCTACGTTTTCCCACCCTCACACCCTCCGTGCTGTAACTGGTCCACTGCCCAAATTCTGACGCCCAGAAACGTCCCGCACACAGCGGAGAAAGACAATGCAAGCAGAGGACAGGGTCTCTCAGATAGACACCACCACACACTCATAGTGGGTTGTAAGTGATGAATGAGAGGGATTCTGTATATTGTTTCTTGGGAAAATCCTACTCATTCTGCCTTTAAGGATTATAACCTCAATGGAAGGATAATGGATACAGCTGTGGTTTTGTGAAGCAACGACAAAATATCTGCAGCTGATGGGCTAAATACTCTTGAATCGCAACAATAAACAACATCCTACCAGTTTGAGGAAGTCGATGAGTTTGTAGGCGTCTTCTCCGGTTGAGAGGTCAACAAAGTCCCGTGGGATTCTGTAGCTCAGACAGGGACTGGGCTGAACCGTCACTTCGCTGTTGGTGTAGCGAAACGCCGGGCCTTCCTGCACATGCAGAGGAACCACAGTTACAATAAAACTGTTTTCAGCTTTAATTGATTTAAGCAGGGCTCAGTGTTACTACAAAAGGTCAAATACAAACACAGCTCAGTTGAGCTTTTGTCACTGCCCAAACGGCGAGGTCTTTTGTACTTAAACGCATGTGTCACAATGTCTGACCTGCTGCTGGGTGATTTCCCCACCGGACCTCAGCTCCTCCCAGCTGAACAGCAGCGAGTCGGTCACCTCTCCGAACGGGTTCAGGTCTATCAGCCACACCCTCCCCTGCAACACACACACACAGAATACATAAATGCAAACTTAGTGTGCAAATGGCATTTTTGAAAATAGACTATAAAAATGTATCTTGTGTGCCTACCTGGCTATCTCTGTAGACATCAAACACAACTGTGAAAAGAAAAAAAAATACAGTTTAAACAACTATACATATGTACATTTACATTATATACAAGCATCTACTAGTTTCACAAAGACATAAGTTAAAATCACAATTTAGTGACAAATAATGCCACATTTAATCACATGTTCTCCTTGTGCTAAGCTCTGCAGAATAAGGAAAAGGGATTTGTATGCTCACAGTCTTCGTCCAGGAATTTGTACTGGATGTGCTGGCTGAAGAATTCCTGTATGGCCTGACAGATCTGCTCCTCCTGCTTTAAGATGTGCTGGTAATACTGAGTGTAGTCTCTCTGGGAGATAGCTGGGAACAGACACACACACCATCAGTGGAGCCCAAATTGAATTTTATAATTGTTTCTAAATTAGCCTGCTGAGTAAAAGTACAGCTCAAACATCATATCACTGTTATATCACAGCTTTTCTTTTTTTCAAAATAATTCCCATATCAGACGTGTTCGGCTCAGTCTGCTGTGTAAAAACAGCGCCCTCTTGCTGTTTTGTGCTGTAAAGCAATCCAGCATGTGTCCCTGCTAACTGACCTTGGAGGCTCACAATGTAAAATGCAATGGAGATGCGATGGTCTCTTCGGATAAAACCAATTATAAATATCTCAACATGTTCCCTAAATGTTTGGGGACGAAGCGCAGAAGAAGACCGGTGACACGAGTGTGAGGTTTTACCGATCAGCTTGTTTTCTTTGACAAAGCAGCGAAACTCTCCGCCGGGAATCAGCTCGCTCCACTTCCTCAGGACCAGCTGAGGACAGAAGACGACACGGTACATTGGGAAGTGGGTGTGTGTGTGTGGACAAATACAACATGAAGGATTTGAACAAGGCCGACTAAGTTTGACTAGTTTATATAACAAAGAATGTATAAAAACAAAATCTTTCGAAAATGAATAGAACACTATAACACATTAAAACACACTAATGGCATTAATCTTAAACTATCATACTGAGAACCCTTTGGAGACACTGCTGTGTGTATAGTTTGTCTTTTGAAAGTTAAATACCTCATAGTTTATGACTGGATCTGGGGAGTCCTGGTCACTACATACAAGGAATCTGCACAAAGAAATGAATGATGGTTACAACAGTGTAAAACTACAGTGAATGTTCTGTAAGCACCACAGGGGTTTACGGTCTCCACTGTAATCAGGACAGTCGCACTGCAAACACCTCGGCTGCTGTGTTGCTCTCAGGAAGTTTGAGAGAGAAGTTTTTAAATGAGTCGAGCAAACAAGCATATATCATAAAAACTGCTTTCCGTGCACTGCAGTAAATCACTCGCTGCACTAAATGTTTACCATGCAAAGCAGAAAAAAAGCGCGGGGCATAAATCTACATCACAGCTATTTCTCCAGCTGCCATGTGTTTTACTGCTGATTGAAAGTGGCCCGTGTGCACCACCAAACAAGGTTCGGTTTTTTTTTTTCCATCCTTGTTGTCATCTAAATGCAAAGTATGTGTAAGTGTGTGTTGATGTTGTTGGACAGCGAGGCTTACGGCTGCGTGAGGTCGTGGGTGATGAAGTCTGAGCTTTTGAAGAGCAGAAATATATCACTGAGGCTGTGACACTGCAGAGAACTGTTCAGAGCGATCCAGTTGGCATCCTGAAAGGGACACACAGACATAAACACACACACACACACACACACACACACACACACACACTTGTTAAGTTATGCCTCAATTCTTAATGCTGGCAGTGTTAGAAGAAGCAGTTGTTATTCTTCTATATACTGAAAGTACAGGGCTTTTAGCCAACCAATCATTTGTTTATGCTACAAATAAGTCATGGCAACACACTTTTCTAATGAATTTAACTAGGAAAGCACCTTTTCTGGTTACATTTGAGTAATTGCAGATACCGAGTTCTAACTATGGCCGTTTTATTTTCATCAGAAGTTCATAACTTGTGTTAAAGGAGTTACTTTTCACCACTGCACATCTGATACTGGTATCTGTGTCTGTGTCTGTGGCCTCCCTAAATGTAACACTCTACCTTAAAATAAAGTGGGCAAACAGTTTATAATGTTTCTTAAGCGGCTGAGTGCAGGATTTTACCCGTGGAGCACTCCAGTTGAGTTTGGGAAAGACGCGCCCACCCAGGGCGTTTATGGCCTCCAGCACTTTAGAGGTGAATTCTGGGAACTCAGGAGCCTAGCAGACACAAGGCCACATCGTCACATCACCACATCACAGTCATAATTATTGCATGTTTAAAGCTGTGGAACGCAGTTTTTTCATATCATTGGATAGAAATGCCATAATAGCCTTTCAGAATATTGTAAATCAAGCAGTCTGAGGGAAAACTAGACATCTGTGTCTTCTCTTGGCTCTGTTTTCAGGCTTTAAAAAAAAATCTAGCCTGTGACAGGAGACTCTGGCCAATCACAGGTCAATTCAGAGAAAGGGCGTTCCTGTTGGTGTGCATGGTTTGCATTGTGTATGTTCAAACTGTCTACCCCAGCTTTAAATGATAGGCATGGCACAAGCATGGAGGTGATCTGATGCATATTTCTGTCAAACGCAGAGAGCGGTACTGCATCATAAAAGTGAGGAGCAATACTTAAAACTGCAGTTAAAGTTTTATCATCAGGTGGGGAATAAACCCTGATGTTTGTTGGGCCCTAAAATACAGACAGTGCATCTTGATTAGAAACAGTGAATGGACTTACAGTGACAGTGGTGGTTGTCTCATCATCTGACCACTAGACGGAAGCAGAGGACAAGAAACATGATCAGAGGGTAAAAATGAACATTAAATTCAGTTTTAATTACTGTTTCACCTGACAAAGCACTTACAAGTAATGTGCTACAATGTTACAATCAATGTTTCATTATAAATAAAATCTTTCATTTTTAAAATGGTTGGGCCTGTGTCCTATAGTTCCTACTTTTTGGAAGTGCCTTTGAGGTGGGTCAACATACACTGCCCTGTCCCAAAGAAAAAAAAAAAAAAGCCGCACTCTTAATATTTCGCTGGACCCGCCTTTTAGCTTTTTTTGAGTTAACGGGCACGGCACTTCAGCATCTGGGCGTCATTCTGATAAGCTTCTGCAATGTCACAACATTTATTTCCATCCAGAGTTGCATTAATTTCCCACCAAGAGTGGCGCAAAGTCTTCTCCAGCACATC